GTCTTTACTTATGATACTTGAACTTTTTTGGCCTCGAAATAAATATTTTTGATTCGGAAAATTTGAAACACGAAAACTCCAGCGCTTGTAGGATTTGCTGATTTGCAGGAACTTGAAAGCAGCAGTACGGGTCTCGAGCAAGGCTATAATGCAACGATTGCTAGCCGTGATTACTCATCCACTTTTAATGGTAAGTTTTTCATTCTGAGCTCGGTTTTATGCTTCGTCATCCACCAGGGCTGTTCGAACTATCGGCCGTCGGCTCAGTTGCTGAGATTATTAGCGCTTTAAATGCTTACTTTAAAGGTTTCGGAACGACAAAAGATGATGAGGAAGACGAGCTACTTGCACGAGCCAGGAGGGATTTGGAGGGAATCAGTGATGAGGAAGGTGTCGTTTTGTAAAAACACAGAAATCAAATAAAATTTTGTTTGTTTTTTACGTGTAAGTTTCTAATTTTCCGTTTTTGTGTTGATCTCACTGATAAATTATTACCAAAATGTTGCATGGAGATGGCTGCTTTTAAAAAGAAGTGAATTGCTCCCAGTTTTTCCGAAAAGAAATCTATGATTTACTCCCGGATAATTGATTAATCCCTCGGTTTCTTATTGCAGCAGGATGTTTTTGAGCTTTTTTTTTTTTTGAAAGAGACAAAGGGCAATGCACGAAATTCAATAAATTTCTGTTGTTGAGGGGATGAGGCAATGTGAAAACAGTTTTGAACACCACTCGTTTATGATAAATCGCTGGCGGAATTTTTCGAAGCTAAGATTGTTAGGACACAAGCAATGACGGGCCCTATTTTATTTCCCCAAGTGCTGCATGGAAAATGACCTGCTGTTTTCATAAACCGTTATTAGTGAAAATTTCGTTTCTTCTTGTTTGTGAAGTTTGTTGTCGCTTTTTGCCGTTATACTCTTGTTATTGGTGATTTTTCGACTTGTTATTGTTGATAAAACAACCTTTATTTTGGATATCGAGTTTACTGTATGCTATAAATCTACATAAAAATCAGCAAATCTCAAAATTATCATATATTATCACTTTTGCTGACATTAACAGGGTCGAACTGCTAGTACCATTGGCGTTCATTTTCTTATTTGCATTCTTCGCTTGTTTGGAGGGATATAAAAGATATTCGACATTCTCTTCATTGTCCTGATACTCCTACAGCTCCCGTATACTTTCCTTTCGATCGGTGACCAGCCATATACGAGAGGATGCATGGGACAAGTCGTCGAAAAGTTCTCACATTACGACCATTTTGTCGATTTCTGTGTGAATGTTCAGCAGAGTTTGTTTTAACTCGATTTACTGCTCGTAGGTGGTGCCTTCTGCTGTTCATCGGTGTCGATATTTGCGTTCTCTTTCTGCAAATCTCTAGCCATTTCTTGTTGGTGTTGCTCATTTCGGGAGAGGTACTCGCGATTTGTCACAAATCGCTTCTTTGAACCACACTTTAAACAAGTTCGTACCAGCTGCTTCCTTTTATTGAGCCTGCAAAAAGCAAGCGTTGAGATTGCAACGCCATGACTTGCCTCGCAGGTGACATATATACCAATAACTCACTACCGCCGAAGAGAACAGATTTGTTTAAATCTTTTGAAGCACAGAAGCTATGGATGTTGTGATCAATTTTGCCGACGCTCAAGTACACTACAAGTACTCCAAGAGACCACCCTGTAAATTGTAAGTAGTATCAGAGCAGGGGGGGGGGGG